TGCTGCTTGGCCTGCTGTGTTCATCCAGCTCTACACCTTGTTATCTCTAAAAATCTATCTTTCTTTGTCTTGAGGTTCCTTAAAACCACTGTCCTTTAGACAACAAGGTTCCCACCTATGGATGCTAGGATCATCCTAGTCTAATTTGGTCCTAATGGCAAAGCAGTCATTTGAGTGAGGTATCAGAATGCTGTTCATGCCAGTCAAACTGTACTGCAGCAAAAGACAGCAGCTTTAGGATAACAGAGGAGCAAAGTGTGAGGCCCAATATCATGGCAACACATTTACTTATTCTGCTTTACACTAGCAGGTTAGCCAATGGAACTTATAAGACAAGGACACAAAAATGGGGAAAGTGAAGGCCATTCTTCCTTCATGTCCATGGCTTACCTTCTAGTTCAAGTCCACTTTCCCATAATATTCCCATACCTCTGAATTCCATGAATAGCCAAGTATCTATTAATCTCTCATAAATGCACTCAAAGAAACAGTATCTAAAACCCTCCACAGGGGAGAATTCCAAAGATCCACAAGTCTTTGAGTGAAGAGATTTCTTCTCAGTTCTAGATATCTGACCCCTTATTCAAACATGATGCATCAAATTCTCGAATGTTCAGTCAGAAGACAGATTCTCCAGACATCTATTCTGTCAAAACCCTTAAGAATTTCATAAGTCATTGAGATCATCTCTCATTTCACAGAACATAAATCAGGTTAATTTAATCTAGCGACAGCCTGCCAATCCCCCAAAATGACCCATTTATTCATATCGTTTTCTATCCATTAACCAGTCTTCAATCCACAATAATGTATTAGCCCTAATGCTATTAGGCCTAATTATGTATAATAACTTCTTGTGTAGCATCTTGCTTTTGATAAATCTAAATACAGTGATTCCCCATATCAACCCCGCTGATTACAACCTCCAAAACCCTTATAGATTTGTCAAAAACAATTATTTCCCTTTCTTAAATCTTGTTGACCCCTCCAAATCATTATGTTTCTGCAAGTAATCTGTTACACGTGTCTTATAATAGATTCTAGCATTTTCCATACCACTAAGGGTAGGCTAACTAGCCTATTACTCCCTCGTTATTCTCTTTCCATCTTTCTTGAAGAATGGGGTTATATATGTTACCCTCCAAACTATGGGTAGTATTCTAGAAACTAAGGAATTCTGGAAAACAAAAGCTATTATTGAGTCTGCTCCTGCCGCTTTGTGTACAGTCAGGATGTAACAATTTGTTACTAATTTCCCATCGTCCCCACACTTTGGACCTTTTATCAATTATCTTAATCTCTGCCCTCTTGACCTTCCAATGACTAATAAATTGTCCCATTTCCTCTGTAAGAATGCTTCACCATTTTGAAAACATCGATTAAATTTTCCTTTCTGTGCCTTTGCACCAAGGAGAGCAATCCCAGCGTCTCTAGTCTCTCCCAGCAACTGATATCCTGAATCTTGCTGAAAAGAGAACCATGTTGCCAAAGCTTTTTGTCTTGGATTCATCAGGACAAGTGAAAATGTCAGATTTCAAACAAACATAATAATTCACACTACAGGATATAGCATTAATTAGTTGGCAAATGAACCTAAGATGCTTATCCTTTGTACCGTTCTTGTAAATCTCCTTCAAACTCTCTCCAAGGTCTTAACATGTTTCCTGAACTGTGGGTGTTCAGAATTGGTCACAACACCCCAGCTGAGCCCTAATGGTCTTTCCTAAAGATTTAAAGTAGCTTGCCTTATTGTGCATAGTATTCCCATGTTGTATGCTTTATTAACTAATCAAAGACTTCTGCATGTGAATCCCAAGATCTTTTTATTCCTTCACCTCCTTCAAAGCTTTACCTTTCAGTTTATACTGCCTCTCTATTCTGCTTCCCAAAAATAT